ATATTCCATTACCAGCGTTTAATAGTGCAGGAGGAATAGCAGCCTGGGGGTTAGGGCGTAGGGCCTGGAATCCTGAGGTTCAGAGTTCAAGCCCCGCTCTGTGCGAGACCCTTAACCCCCCCAGGACGCCCCACGATGGATGCCCACTGCACCCCAAGGGGATGGTTTAAATGCAGAGGTACATTTCTCCAATGAAATATCCATAAAGTTCTATTATAATTATTATTAAAGTTCAATGTTATCTGCAGTGAAGAAGCCGGTTCTCCAGTTTAATCCTAATCCCTTCACCTCCCAGCGGCGGTGGTAATAACCCACAGATCATTAACGTGACGCTCTCTGTCCCGACAGCAGAGGACAAAGAGAATCCAACAGAAATGCTTAAAATTCATCATAATCATCTTTTTTTGAAAGTGTAAAAATAAAGTTTTTTATTGACCAGGATACTGGAAATGTGTGTCTTTGCACTCTGTTTTTTTTCTCCGACACCTTTGATCACTGCCGCAATTAACACCATGAAAGCTGTACAAGATGAAATTAACAATAAAAGTTTTCTAAGTCTGAGAAAGTCTAAGGTGAGATAACCTTTAATCCGACTGGATGATCTGGTTGAACTATCTCTATAAAGTGCCTTCAGGCGACAGGATGGTGCTATAGAGATTAACAGAATTGAATTTATAAAATGCTTTTTTATTTCTTTCTTTGCCACTGAGACACCTTAAGATGGTGAGAACTCTTTAAAACTATTTTAAACAGATCTAAGATTAACATTAAAAAGAGAAACATCTGAACTAAAAGAGTAAAACTGGAGTATTTTGTACCGCAGACCAAAAATTGATGTAGGATTTTCCAACTGGGAAGAAACATAAAAACAATTTAATAATAATATAAATAAACCATTTTATTGTGGTCATTTTATTACTTTAAATATTAATTTCATTGCCTTTAATAAACAGTTTCATTGGGTTTATTTTCTCTCCCTGTTTCCAGCCTTTTTCTGCAGAAATAAACTTGTTGTGAAAATGATCCATACTGCAGATAGGATGTTCCAATAGAATTTAAATGAATTTAAATGTTTAGACTTACATGTTACGTCCCCTGATATGATGTTGTTTTAGACTATATAAAAGCCGTTTTTATTTGTATTTTTTCAGTTTTGGTCCAGAGCGCAGGTGGAGGTTCAGGAGGAGACTTACGATGTCTCACAGGAGGAGCGAGGAAGAGCTGGATGCTGATTTTGAGAAGTTCCTGAAAGAGGTAGTCGTCTAGAAAACCCAACAGGAAGCCGATAAAATGATACAATTTTTGCCATAAATCCACAGCCGACAGTCAGCAATTTCTGACATGATGATGATGATGATGATGATGATGATGATGATGATGATGATGATGATGATGATGATGATGTTTCTGTGGTTGAGGCTGGACTCGCTGTCTATCAGTCTGTTTCAGATGATTCTGTGGATCTAAGCAGCCCTGATCGTCAGTCCAAACCGAGCCGCCAGAAACCGCCCTGGTGGTCAGATGACGAGCACAGCGGTGGAGGTAAGGACGCCTCAATCAGAGTCACCGCCGGAAAACTAACAACTTATAATGTGATAGAGAGATGAAGCCTCATTGAACCGTTTAGCCTTATTGCTCCAAGGATCCCCACAGTTCATGAAGCTTCATGTCACCACCTACTGGTGGACTGCAGAACTACAGTTAGTAATAAAATCTATTTGTTTTCCAATTGTTTTTCCGTTTTTTTTTTTTTCCATTTTGGAATTGTTAATGATTGGTGTGTATAATGAAACAATAATAAAATAAGTTTTTTTAAGTGTAAAATGTCTTAGAAGAGAAAAATCATTTAAGATTCACAGTTTTTCTGCCATTTTAGTGAAATAAATGGAAGCAGACAGTGAAAGTGTTTGTGCAAATTGGGCAATGATGAGCAAAATGAAATGTGTCATTTTTTTTCAAAATGAAAAATGTTTCACAGTTTTTGGTTTTAATCTGGTTGGAAGTTATGTGTTCAACCAATCTTATGGCTAAACCAGCCAATCTAATTTGGCAGTGTTTTTAACTAATCTCTATTTGAACTAGGGCAAATTAAAACAAATCAGTCACATTAGCCAAAATACTTGTTAAGTTTAGGGTTGTCACGATACTAATCTTTTCAACTCGATACCGATATTGAGGAAAATATTCGATACTCGATACCATTT